ACACAATCATATTCAATTTTATAAAAGTCTATAAATTGTAATAAAATTTCTTAGTGAGTTGTATACAAACCGTTTCACCCGGGATTAGAGACGAATACAAAAATCCTAACCTCTAAAGTACGCTCACACGTTATTCCTAGGGAGAGCGTTCGACAATTTGCAAAGTATTCTCGTCATGCACCGGCCAAAATAAACACGCACATTGAAATATACATGCTGAAAGAACTGGTTTTCATATGGTAACGAAATGATAACAAACAAAAGCAGAGGCAGTACTTGTTGCTATTTACAGGCCTGGTCCGCTTAGCCACACTCACGCACAACGATCTGCAAATAAAATCGGCTGCCTGTGAATAGCGCTGAGTCGTGGCGGTGGTGGTCACGCACTCGCTTCGTCTGCACCGTTGCATAAAACGCAACGACAACATAGAATTCTGGTGTGAAAATGGCATCGGAGGTGAATGTATCGTTAAACTATTTACAAAATTTCGCCACCAGCGGCCCTCCCCGTTCTCATTATGCTTCGTTGCAGGGATGCAGACAGACCATGACAGACGTTTAAAGTTTCAACGCCAAGCGCCAAACTTTTCTCCGAGTCCTCGCTGTTCTCTTAACAGTGCTGAGTGTTTGGGTGCGTACTGGTGGAACTATGTAAATGGCGTATTTTTGGTTGAAATCATTTACATGGACGTTTCAAACGTCTCAAATGAGGTCGGTATGTGGTTGTTGTCTGTGTACTCTGCGCATCATAACCTCTTGTCTTGTATGTAATTACCCAGGTAACTAAGGTTTACTTTTCTTCCAGTTTCTTTGTCGGAAATGTATGCAGACATTGGAACTGAAAATCCCTCGTACCCTTCAGAAGAATTACTAAGGCCAAAGTCCGAGGTCCCCGAATGTGAAGAACCGACTGATCTCCCTCTTCTTTCGCATGTAATATTGGGTCGGCCTGTGGAAGAGTTTGATGTTAGCAACTTCCAGCTGTACTTATGTGGCTCCGGCACTTATCAGGCACTGCAAAAATGCGTATCTGGCGTCTGTTTTAAGAGATGTGGAACTGCTTCCTCCCATGTCTGTGCTGGAAATAACTTTCAGTTTGTTCTTGAACTCCATGAAAATATTTTAAGTCACCCTTAGTAGCTGACAGGCAGGAATATCATGTGGTAAGAGTGCTAAAACATGTTTATCAGTATGAGCTTGCTTGACGCACTGCAATAACGTTTGATATGCCATTCTTCTTGTAGGTTTGCTGTCAAGGAATGCAACTCGTACTCTATTGACACAGTGATCACAGACAAGCTGCGGTATGTCCTCCAGCCAGTGTTGTTTGAGAGGGCCGTTCGCAGTAACAGTTGTAATGATGTTCAAACAATGTGTGTGAAAGAGGTATGTATCAGTGTGGATTTCTATTCACATTCAGCCTTCTAAACAGAATTCTGTTTTATGTAACATTTATTTTATGAGATTGCTGCAGATGACCCAGAACGTGAGCAGCTGATTCCTGGGAAAAGGGCTGGGTGCCAAATCATGACTTCTACCATATCTAATGCCCTGAAGGTATCGCAATGCATCAGATTTCCTCCATTATCAGAAAATAGGTTAGTGTTAATCTTCGGTATTACAGAATGCGTGAACTACCATCACTCCTTGAAATGGCAGCTTTTACTTTGGCTCTTACTTAACAGGAAGACTGAAGAATTCATTAATGTGCTGGCTGATTTGCTGCATAGCTTTTACAAAGCAGAACCACGGGGCAACCAACAGTCACTCATAGATGTATCATGTGTGGGAGCACAAATTGGTCCCAATGACCGTGGTGTCAGTAAAGAGCATGGATTCCTTGATGTCCTTTTGAAAACTGAACTGACTTCTTCAGGCTCTGAGTAAGTGCCATCCAAGTTGTCGAGTCGAACAAGTTCAAGCCCCAACGATGCTAGTTGTTTGATGCATTTTTCTTGCACTCTCCTCTAGATCCAAGGAAAGTACTGTTGATATGTTTGAGAGCAACCAAGTGGGTGTGGATAGCTGTGGATAGTGGATTGCAACAGAGTAGTGCTGATTTTGTGGTAGGTATAAGGACCAAATTCTGAATGTGTCTTGGTCATATTAAATTGCAATGCAACTTGACATAAGTATATTTAAAAGAACCTAAAATATGGTGTTATTTTTTCTATTTTTGGCAGGAGGAGGGAATTTCATTTTGTCATATCAAGTCCTTTTGGCTGCTCTTTAGCACACTGTGCAGTTGTGAAGCAGTTAATCCCTTGGCCTCCATTGTGTTGATTAAGCTGGACAAGTTTAGATATCAAAATATGCCCCATGGCAGCTACAATGAGGTGGTCCAAATTACCATGCATGGTCCATATTAGATCATTTGACGGTAGTCTCTTCTCTGCAACACCTTCCAGGCCAATTAGTACAACGGATAAGCCTCCTCGGTATTATGCAGTGGTACAGTTGTATCTGGGACAGTGAATGTTATTTAGGTGTTGCGTCAAAAGTCCTTGACGTTCCAGACAGATCAGGATCAGAAAGTCTGATGGGATTTTATGAGTCTTAAAAATTAATGATTAATAGTGAGTATTTAAATACTGTTCCAAGTGAGTGTGAGTGTGGTCAGCATGACAACATTTTGATGTAACTCTTTTGTTCCACAGCAAGTTATCTAGTGTGTGAAGCATTCCTTAATGAGAAGTCTGCGAGGAGCAAGATCAAGAGCTCAGCGGCTTCCAGTTCATCGTCTACATCAAGTTCTAGTAGTAGTCTGTCAAGCCAGAGTGTCGTCCTAGGATGCAAAAGAACAGCGTCTAACCTACCAAGCCTCAGCAGTGTAAAGGATGATAGGCCTTCTAAAATGGTTAACAGCGAAGTAAGTAAATTTTCTCCCCTCCTGAAACATTTCATATCCCTCTAATTGCTTCTTAGAAAATATTTTTGCATTAGAACAACAACATACGTATTTGGTTTTTATCTATTGTTTTGCAGCAAGATGATAAGTCATCAGAGTGAAAAGGAGAGAAGAGGCCTCGATCCAATGCAATGCACCAAAAGACCTTGAGTTCTCCACTTTAAGTCCTTCTGAAGAGATAGAAAAGGATGGCCTCCAGAGACACAGTACTTGAGCTGGAAATGAACCAAAAAGATTTCAGGTGGGTCTACAAATTATTGTTGTGTGATGAGACTTGTGTACAGTTTGCAGACAAACTTGTTTCCAGTGTTTGTGCAATAACCTGGCTTGTTTTCTCCTTTCCTTTCAGTTAATTCATCGGGGGAGTGTATGCAGGCCAGCCTTTCTTTGAAATAATTTGTGAACATGGAACTGCCCAGCTATTATTGTGTTACCACAGTGCTGTGGTTTGAGATTGAACATGCATGACAAGGTCTAACTTTTAAGAGTTACTCCTATCCGATGTAAGGCTCTGAACGCCTCCATTTCATTTCTCAGTTTTCACAGAAACTGGCCATTGGAAAAACCACTTTAAAAAGGTATTGTGCTGTTATAGTCTTGTTACTTTAATTCTCATCTGAACAATTCTGTTTTAGGATGCCCCTTATTCACCTAACTGTATATGTTATCTCCTGTGGTGCTGTTGGCCTGACTTACCTATTGGTTAATACATATTGTTGTCCCTTAAATATCTGTCTACCATTTATCTTTGAGTGCAGGCAAGAGCCTATCCTATAATGTATGACAATCATTCCTCCAATGGCTTCTGCATTTGAACTTTTACTGTCACCATACATGTTCATTGAAAATCCCTCTTTTGTGAGGTCACCACTGTTGTATTGGCTTTGCTTGCCTCAATTGCATAGTTTAACTATGCTTTCCCAATCATTTTTTCCAAAGCTACTCTGAAGAAAGACCAATTTTTTTGTGATTTAATATACTGTACATGTGATCTTTGATGAGCACATTGACCTTTGCTTAGAACTAGAGTACTCTGTGTATTGTATAGTTTGTATCTTGTCTTTCTCTTACTGTGTAGAGAGAAAAATAAATTAATATCAATGGATTTTAAGTACCCTTTCTAGGTGTATTTATTGCGGACTGACCACGGCTGTTCTTCTGTTGTAACTTTTAACTTACTGCGCTGTTTTGCTATTGAGCTGATCTTGCCATTTATGGTTCTTACCAAGTCTTCTATATTTATCCTGAATCTTTATTTGAATGCAGGATGGAAACTTTCTAGTTTGACAATCTTTTTTTTTTTTTTTTTTTTAGGATTCCACAGTGTCT